TGATTTCAAATGATAAACGAAATGTTTACTTGAAATACAATTTGAAAATTGATATTATAAGTTCGAAGTGACTGCATTATTAATTGTAAGTGTTTTCTATTTCTTGTTAAATTTTAGAATGGATTTGTCTAATTTCAAATTTTGTTTATTGCTTCCTGAATTATTTACAGTCAACAATTCGTGGGGTGCAACGTTTACTTTATTCTGATTTGTTGCTAGACTGAGAATCTTAAAAATGAATACAGAAATTGTAACTGCTAAAATAGTTCAGAATATTGAAATGCTGACGTATTTCTACGTTCAAATGATAAACGAAATGTGTACCTGAAACGTAATTTTTAAATTGTTATTATAAATGTTTTGTTACATACATCAAGCTTAGCATTTGGACTTTAGAACGAATTTTTTTTTAAGTTGCGTACACTGCTTTCTGAATTAATCCTTCCAAAAGGATAATGGATTTTTGTGAAGGTTCAGGCACGTCAGGGTTCATTCCTGGCAGATTGTAGTTTAATTTAAAATAATAATTGTATTTATTTGAATAAGGAGTGTGGTTGAAAAAACTTGTCTGAGAATTTCTTATCCTAAGACTGTAACAGTTAGAACGAAAAAGGTATTAATATTTTCTTGATGAGAATTGCCGATAAAGTTGATGATGAAGCGTTTTGGTATTTTGGATGATGAGATGTTATGTATCTGTCTGCTCATTGGTAATCAGTGAATGCTGGGAGAGGTTGTTCAATATTTTTAAAAATTAAATTACAAATTTTGTTGTTTGACATTTTGGTATTCTTGCATGTGAAACACATTAATAATGATTGTTCGTATAAGAAATAAAGAAATAATGGGAAAGAGGGAGAACGTTTAATATTCTTACCTCCTATTGGAGAAAAATAGATACTAGATTCTAAGATCCTCTTCTCTATGGCCGGTGAAGAATAATATTAATAAGGTTTGGAGAATTCGCGAGTTCTCACTCGAAAAGTCTTCCAATTAAATTATTCCATAGAAACAAAGGGAGAGAAGTAAAGTCTTAACCGATTACAGAAAAAGCTTTCATTTGATTCCCCTCGTCATTTATCATATTCTTTCTGACTACGCAGTTTGTGATTTTTATTTGATACTGTACAATGTTGAAAACAGCGTAAATTAATTAATTAAGGATGTTATGGTTGTATGAATGGCAAAAGCAACGGAGGGCAGATTTGATCGAATGAATTAAGACATGCATAGCGTTTACATTACTTTCGTGTACAATAATATACAAAGTATTAATTATTATAAAGCAGTAACTCTGGTAGTTTTTCAATAAAAAATTCTCTGCATGTACATACTATCGTATCTAATATTTTACGGTGAGAAAGGTCCCCTGAGCTGTGGTGTTCTGACTCTGAATTGTATTGATAAGTTTGATAAATTTCACATACGATAATGTACAAAGAATTAAGTGTTGTAAAGCAGAAACTTTAATAGCTGCTTATCGACAAAATTGTTAATCTTCAGTATATTTATACTATTGCATCTCTAACTTTTTATGATTAGAAAGATTCTGAGTTACGGTGTTCTGACCCTGAATTTTATTAACTACTAACCTCACTTTTTTATAACATTTAATTTAATATTTTTGCGATATTATTGTACATGAAGCTAATATGTACGAAATGGCCTGATAGGAAATTATTGACAATAAAAAAGGTCTAGCAGCTACTCAAAACTGAACAGCAGGCAGCTGACCTTTACTTTCGTCTGGGAAAGATATTGTAGGGGTCCTCTGAGGCCCTCTGCTTTTACATGTTTTTACGATAGAATTTTGGCGAATGGTTCGTAACATTCTTTCATCGTTACGGTCAATAAGGCTGGGACATTACTATTCCCCATAAGAGTGCATAGTAAACTAAGACTAGACCTACCATGCACCTGTTAAATCACCGGTTTTAAATTTTTTTGTAAGAAATAAGAAGAAAACGAAGTTTATACTATCATATTGTTAAAGTTGTAATTATTATAAACTGACATATCAGAATTTACACTAAATTTCACTCAAATGTAAAAAACGTAAATATAGAATATTAGAATACATCAATTGCCGGTATGTTTAGTATTAAAATTGCAATAACTTCGAGCTAGCAAACCTATTCGAAATTCCGCAGCATTATTCGTTTTAATAACAGAATTTCAATCGATGTGGCATTACTCCGACTTGCAAACCATAACATCCTTAATATTATCGCAGAATTTCTTTTGAATATAGTTTGAACCTTTGAACGATTCAGTGATAAAACTCTTAACTCGAAACACTTCGAAAGTCGATAACGGTTTCCTGTTAATAACTTCTGGTCCCCTTCTTCGCGTAGTTCCAGAAAATCATTAAGAGTTTCATGAGAATCAAGAAGAAAACCAATTTCCTCTTAGATGAGCTACTTCAGAATTCATCTTAGCAAATTGGAATGTAATGAAACATTCATTTCGAGAATTACGACAATATAACATTATTGTTAACATCCATCAGTCGTAATTCAATATTAATGTAGGTTCAATAATTAGAGGAAGAGACTGGAATTGAATTACAAATTGGGATTCCTCGATCGAAATCAGATTGATCAATAAAACAAGTGAAACGACAAAAAATGAAGCATCGATGATTTTCTTTAACTTCTGCTCTTTAATAAGATTCTTTATTTTCTCTTGTTCTGTGCATGGGTAGTGGCCGATGAAGAAAAACTCTGGAATCGTTTACGAAATGTCGACAGAGAGTACATGATTATTCTTCAGAATCATCTCTACGTACAAAAAAGTGTTCCGTATAATTTTCTTCATTTATAATTAGACCGCGAATTTTTATGCAAAATAATTTAAGATATAATTTTGAAGAATGAAATTTAGATATGCTTCGCAAACATCATAACATGCATACTGCTTCTACGTATTTTATACTTGCACACTGCGTGCAACACTCAAGTTTTAGCACACTTTTGTCTCTTATAAATAGATAAAAATCTGCAGCCTATTTACAATCAACTAGAGTAATCATACTTTCTGTTAAAATTGAATTAAAATTTAAGAAAATATCGTTAATTGTACGTAGATCAGATTTCTAAACTAATCATTAGACTGCGGATTTTTATGGAAAACAAAACATTGTTAAATCAAACAGATATTTTGAATTTGTCAAACTTAAACTCTTACGCCAGATTGAGAATTGTTTCATTCTTTAAAAATAATGTGTATATTATATATTTTATGTTTTTCAAACTTTTGCATATTATACGCATCTCTTATACTTTCCGTGTATCTAATTCTTTCATAAATGCATAAAACCCGCAGTCTACTAATCATGATTCTTCGACCACATTTCGTATACGTAATGGAATCATTTAATCGTATTTAAATAAACGATCCACCCAAACAGTTCACGCTAAATACTCACATGATCCTGCAC